AATTACATGAATTGGAATCACATTTAACAGGAACTTCTTTTGTTTTTGAGTACTAATTATTGCTACTATTTATCTCATAAACACGCACCTACTCTTTACAATAAGGTTGAAATGTGAATCTATTGTCATTTATGAAACATAATCGATAACCAAACTATTCAACTGTTATCTTTTATATTACATTCCATTTTTACGATGACTCCTCTATTATTAAGATTAATTTATCATATCCACAAGATATCACTCTATTCTATTTCTCATTCAAACTTAATCCATATACATAACTTGTATGATCTGTAATAGTTTGTGAACATGTCCATTAATAATTCTTTATCCAAAATTTAATAGTTTTATCATCACTTCCTGATATAATAATATCTTCATTATTATTCAATATTAAACAATTAATCTAAGACTGATGTTCATTCAATTTGTATGAACAGATCCATTGACTATTTGAATTCATAGACCATATTATAATCTATTTATCACAACTCCCAGATATAAATTGAGTCGATTTCTTCATAAAATTTAAAGTATAAACAGTACTTTAATGTTCACTAAGATTTTGAGTTAGTTTCAATTATTCTTATTTAAATTCAAATACTTTGATCGTATTATTACACCCTGCTAATAGAATTGAATTATCATTATTCATAGCAATTGCATAACAAAATTCATTTTATTAAATTGAATGATTTTCGATAAAATCATAAGCGAATGGCTTAGAATTAGATTCATGATGATTCCCCTGTTGAACTAACTAATGTTGATTTAATTGATTTTGTTAATAATTAGTGATCATAGGTTTAATTTGTTGAATTAATGATTGAGCAAAGTTTTGTATAGAAGACAATGATATTTAATGAAATTTTGGAGTATGATTAACAATATTTTGAAGAAGTGATGGATAAGTAGGAATAGCAAGTTAATCAAGAAAATTGTCAATTCTGCTGAAAGATAACTAATAATGATATTCTTATATTACATCTAACTCTTATTATACTCCTTAAAGACATTCTTTTACCTTATTTATTTATTGCTCAACAATCATTTCACAATTCATTAAATTTATTATTTAATTAATTACATTATTCAACTTTTTTCTATTTCTATTAAAAAATTCACCTATTTTTTAATAACAGTCTATTAAACTATGTTATGGTGTTTATGGCAAAAATGTTAAATGATACATTTTATTAATTTTCAAATATTAGAATGATATTTTTGAATTTTTTGGGAAGTTTTTTAATAAAATATGTTGTTTAATTAACAATAATAAGATCTGAAAATATTTTTGCTTCATATAAATATCTTTATCGTTTTATAGTATCTTATATTTCAGTATTATATTTTCAAATGAAATATTGTCTGAAATAGAGGGTTAACTATTAAATTAACAAATACTTCAATGTTTATTTAAATTGAATTACCTTAATGAATGTTATTTAGTAAACTTTTTCAGATTTTCAATAATCTTATAATGTAAAAAAATTCTTTATTCATATATCATGCTGCAATCTACAAAGACTTAATAATTTATTAATATATCATTAAATATTTTGACTCAACAAATAGTGTTAAATAAACTCTTTGATAACATATTTACAATTATGGGAATAAAATGAGAATATAGATTTCTCCGATCTTATTCTAAAAGTTTATTAAGTTTGACCGAATGTGTGTGTTAGTTACCTCTTTAAAGAACATCAATAGTGCTTCAAGTAATACTCACTTTCAAAAGCCCTTGAGATATAGTTTAATAGAATTCTGGATGGTGGTTGATAGACTAGATCTATCCAAATAACACATTTTCTAGCTTTGAGAGAAAACAAATTAAAACAATTTGGCAAGCTTTAGACTCAGCAGAAAAGAAAATTTTATGAAAAGTTATCATCATAAAAAAAGAAATATATTTTGATAAATATAATAGCGACTTAATAACGAAACAGTATTTAATAAGTAGGATATAACCTATCCTTAGTAAATATATTAGGAATGTTATAAACTAATAAAATAATGGACTGCATAGTCTATTTTATTTAAAATCNTCGATTTCTTCATAAAATTTAAAGTATAAACAGTACTTTAATGTTCACTAAGATTTTGAGTTAGTTTCAATTATTCTTATTTAAATTCAAATACTTTGATCGTATTATTACACCCTGCTAATAGAATTGAATTATCATTATTCATAGCAATTGCATAACAAAATTCATTTTATTAAATTGAATGATTTTCGATAAAATCATAAGCGAATGGCTTAGAATTAGATTCATGATGATTCCCCTGTTGAACTAACTAATGTTGATTTAATTGATTTTGTTAATAATTAGTGATCATAGGTTTAATTTGTTGAATTAATGATTGAGCAAAGTTTTGTATAGAAGACAATGATATTTAATGAAATTTTGGAGTATGATTAACAATATTTTGAAGAAGTGATGGATAAGTAGGAATAGCAAGTTAATCAAGAAAATTGTCAATTCTGCTGAAAGATAACTAATAATGATATTCTTATATTACATCTAACTCTTATTATACTCCTTAAAGACATTCTTTTACCTTATTTATTTATTGCTCAACAATCATTTCACAATTCATTAAATTTATTATTTAATTAATTACATTATTCAACTTTTTTCTATTTCTATTAAAAATTAGCAACAGTTCTACAAAATAACATTAATTTATTCTTTTCACTTATTAATTCTATTTCGCATAATCCTGCTTATACAATTTCAAACAGACTATTTTTATTCTTAAATTTTGATGAATACCTCATTTAGGATTTAAATTTTCTTTTTTCATAAAATAAGAGCACTTATTCTATAATAAATATAATACAGCGATATTAATTTGTTGAGTTTCTTTCTAAGAGAGCGTTTTTTATTTCAAACTATTACATAATAAATAATAAATCTTATTTTTGAAGATATAAATTTGAAATCAATAACAAATAACTTTCAAAACTCAGAAAACAAGTTTTAGAGAACATGAGTTCCAAACATATTCCAACGATTATCATTTAGACATTATCACTAATAAGGAAGATATTTAATAGAAAGAGGCTTGTTTCATTAATAATTAATTTGAACCATTTTGAAAGCTTCAGCAATAACTGAATCAAAACTGAAGACGACAAGAAAATATAGATTGATTTCTCTAAAACATACTCATAAAAGTTGATTTATGTGCACTCCTTTCTTTTTAATTTACATTTATATAATTTTAATGATCTTGCCTACTATTTAGTTAACTATAATTTAAGTATCGTTGTTATATTATAAGGTTTTCCACAATCAATTTCTCAGTCTGGATTTTATAAGGTAAGAGTTTATTCTGATAGGGGGTTTGAATTATTCAAAATTTTTAACCTTGTATAATAATTAGAAAATATAATTATATATTTCTTGGTTGATATATAGGCTTGTAAAAGTGATAAATATTGTGTAAGATCTAATTCAATAAGTGGCATACCCAGTCTTGAGCATCAGTATGAAATATTTTAGAAGGTATAACTTCAACATATAAATAGTATTCCCAAGTTGCAGGAATGTAGACTGTGTATCTAATGCGGAATATCCCCTTTTATAAGTTAATGACAAATTTTACAACAAAATGCCAAGTTGAACAAACTTTTGTAGTGGAAATTTTAATATATTCTGATTGATAAACCACAGATATTTTTCTTTATTGGATCAATCACCATGAATTAAGCCCCAACTTGAAAACTCTGAAATGTACATTGCCAATAACATCATAAATTATTTTCGTAGATCTAACATAACTATTAGAACTACTAAAAAGAATAATTTAACAAAAAAAATTATCTATATTTTTTATAATGATATTCGGATTGAAATTTCCTTTATTAGTATTTCTCTGAATTGAATCTAAGATTGAAAAATAGAATTCCAACGTAAAGGATTCCTATTAGATTTCTTAAAATTTATTGGGTTGATTCTAGTATAAAATCTATTCAAACTTATAATTTCAAGCCTCATTGCTCATTCTAAACTGTATACTGTATGTGAAACACATAAAAGAAAATTATGTTTAGTCCAAGATCCTAATTATGAATTATGACTTAAACTATAATTCAAAATAAAATGCAATTTAGGAAAGAAAATATTGATCAAATGTCCTGCACCTATAGAAATCTTTCCATTTGGTCTTCCATTTCATGTAGAAAAATTATGACCAGAATTTAACATTGGGAATGTATATTATATTTGGTATCAAAGTGAACTTTGAAACAACTTTTGAGACAGATATAATTTATGGGGACGGTTAAAAAATATTCATTTTAAATAAAAGAAGGATTGAATTGCAAGTGGAAGCTAATTTTTCTAATTTAAATTAATAGCTAATAATCAATGAAATTTGATGTATTGGAACTAAATATATTAATGTCTATGCAAATTTTCTTAACTGTTATGAAATAGGTAAAGTAATATTGGAAGATGAATACTTAATAGTTCTGGAGCATCGATTGCCTAACTGATTCTGGTTATAAATTCAATTTAAGGATAGTTGAAAGTTTAAGCAGTTGATGAACTTGAAACCTATTTATTCGACTTTTAGTCTATGGGATCTTAAGGTTTATCGGAACACAGATCTAGAGCCCTTTTATATCATCTGTTTGTTGTATCCCCACCTATTTAACTTACTGGAATTTAAAAAGTCAAAAGAAAATATATTTTTTTCAAGCAAATTCTTAAACTATCAATAAATAATGATATTAAAATATTGGAGGCGATATGTTGTTCCGAGTATTGAAATATCAATGAATCATTCTCAATTAAAAATATTACTATAAGTTCATTGCTAAAAAGGACCTTGTTTCTTTCATCCAATAAGAACAGATAAATATAATAAGATTCAGATCAAAAGTAAAAAATACAAGCAAATAATCTTAATCTTAATTTTAAAAATCATAATACCTACTCTCTCTGGCACAGTGTATAGATATTAGCATCATCATATAGTTTTATCATTTGATCTAGTTGATCAAAGCTTAATTTTTTAACACAATAAATTTTAATTTATGAGAGGCAATTCTGTAATGCCAATTATTACCTCTTCTAAGGCAGATTCACAATTTAGCAATTATGCTGCTTGTTCATAACTATCAGGAAGCTAATAATGAATTATACTAATCATTCTTTTTACTGAACCAGTATTTTGTAGTATAATAAGAGGTTATGATAATAATTATAGGAGGGGTTAAAAATAAGGATTTATTAAGCAGAAAACAAATTAGTACGGTATGAAAGATCTCTCATTTAAGGTTTTTTTATTAGCCAAGATATTGATGTATGAATCTATGAAAGTACCAAAGTCTGATATAATGAATTAAAAATAGTTTTTGATAAAAAAGTTAGAATATAAAGAATTTAGCAATTTCACTACTTTATAATAGTAAAATAGAAATTAAATAGAAATGAACATTATGCAAAAAAGGCAATATCATCCAGACTTTAATTAAATACGCTCGTTTCTGAAAGGAATTTTTGTACATAAGAACTATGTAAAATAATAGTCACAAATTGATTTATTGTATTTATTGGATTTGGTTAATTAAGACTTACTTTCTTCTCAAATCTTTTTTAGTACTTTTCATATTAATTCATGTTATTTGTTAAATATCCTATTTATTTTAGCTTATAATATTTATTATAATATATTCTGACAGTGTCTTCTAATAGTTAATATAGTTACAATTTTTAGACTATGCTTGTATTAAAATACGCTATTTTGTGTTGATATTTTAGACATTCCATCTCTCATTTATCCATGTTTTAGTTAAATTCTCCAGGAATCATTATTCTTAGTCGTCGCCTTCTTTGACTTTTAGATAATTCGATAGATTCGCAATAGCAACATCGCAATTGGAAAGGTGTAAGAATTTCAGTAAATCGTCCCCTACAATCTTTGTTTAACTTTTTATTAATAATTAAACATTTCTATATAATTAATATTATTCTCTGAAGGGATCTTTCAATACCTTGATTATACATGGATTAAGCTATGAGTCAGTTAAACAGAATGTCACAAAATTTAGTAGCTTAAGGGGGAAAGAAATTTGAGAGTCTAAGAATGCCTAAATAACTATTTTATCTGAAGTTAAGCTAATCACAATCGTTTGCTGCTTTTAAATTCATAATGAAAAGTGTAATATGAAACAAAAAATCGTACAATTTCCTATATTCTTTTATCTTTTCCTTAATATAATTTGATTTAGGTCTTTTTACATAATAGAAAGTTTTCCTTTATTGAATTGCCTCTCTAAAAATAGATATGTATTCAACTCTTTGATTCTATATTGTGGACGGTAAAGATGATTTTGGATATAATACTTCTTGACATAAATTCTTATGAGTGAGAAGTTAAGAATTTTCGTAAGGTTTAACTTTTTAATATTTTATTCGTTTTTTATCTCCCAAAGCTAGCTAATAAATGTCAATTCTACAATATCTCTTTAAAATTCCTTGTCCCCTATAATCTAATTTAATTATTAGTATCCTATAAGTAAGTAACTTACTATTTTTCTCCATTCATCCTCTTTCTAATTCATACAACACGAATTCAACTGTTTTATGCATATTATCATATCTACATATTGCAGAAAATTTCTATTTTACTTTAGGAGAGCGGCTCAACTTTCATCTAATTTTTTGGACAATTTGCAATAATATCTATATAGATTCTATTTTGTTTATAAAACTGGGTTTAGATGATTTGCTTAAACATTCTCTTTTTCAAGCTGAATTCATCCCACATTTTCTATATATCAATCACTCTTGATAACCTTATATTCAATATTTGATGATCTTATTATTTTCTTTAATTTCATTAGCTTCTTTTTTCATCAATATAAATGTCATTCTTTCAAAATCAAATTTATAACTTTGTTATCACTTTGCCAAATTTGCCTATTAATCAAAATTCCTTTCATTTTATATATCCTATTAAATACTATATTATGTGGAGATTACTTCTATCCCATTTTCAATATTATATTCGCCTTTATTCTTCTTTAAATGCGATTTGATTAAGAACAACTTGAAAAATAAATATCAATAATGTAATCTCTCCTAACTTAAATAGAGATTAATTAATCCTTGTGATTTGATAATAAATTCCCGTTTCAAGGTTCTGGGCCTTGATTTTAAATAAAATAGACTATGCAGTCCATTATTTTATTAGTTTATAACATTCCTAATATATTTACTAAGGATAGGTTATATCCTACTTATTAAATACTGTTTCGTTATTAAGTCGCTATTATATTTATCAAAATATATTTCTTTTTTTATGATGATAACTTTTCATAAAATTTTCTTTTCTGCTGAGTCTAAAGCTTGCCAAATTGTTTTAATTTGTTTTCTCTCAAAGCTAGAAAATGTGTTATTTGGATAGATCTAGTCTATCAACCACCATCCAGAATTCTATTAAACTATATCTCAAGGGCTTTTGAAAGTGAGTATTACTTGAAGCACTATTGATGTTCTTTAAAGAGGTAACTAACACACACATTCGGTCAAACTTAATAAACTTTTAGAATAAGATCGGAGAAATCTATATTCTCATTTTATTCC